TTTGCTGTCCACCATCCCGAGATCATCAAATTATTGTCCTAAGGCGGCTAGGAATTGAGAACTGCTGTCTACTACCTCACAAGCGCATAAACACCACACCGGAGCTTTGGTTTGTCTTGTTTATTTGGGTGATCTTTTCTCCTACTCTTTTATCTTTTAATCGCTCTCAATTGTAGCTCTAATTGATTCATGGAAAGTTGTGTTAACTCTTCCCGCTAAAGCCTAGATTAGGGATTTCTTGTTGAAACTCATCTCGTTTGCAACGTCTAGAGCAATTGATTATTATGTGGTTTTTACTTTTTGCAAGTAACTTGGCCTAAGCTTGTGTTTACCGCTCCTTGGTTTTATTTCATTGTTGAATCATCATAAAGCTTTAATTAATTAGCTCTTATTCAATAAGCATGCAAATTCCTTATTAAAATAGTGTTTTCATATTTGTCCTGCATCATCTGGTATCAGAGCATGATTAGCTTAGGATTTTCATACTAGAATTCATCCTAAGGCTTGTTGTAATCATGCTTAGTTATTTCCGTATGCATAACATCTATAAAAACATTTTAATCTTCACTTACATTTGCTGTTCTGAAATTTCTACATACATTTAGTGAGCATTAAGTGTTGATTTTGGGTATTTAAGTGCTGCCATCTTTGTAATAACTCTTCTAGTTGTCTTGGAATACTTTGCACTTTGTTTTAGTTGTTGTCCAACTAATTCCTGCACCATTTAGTGTCATTCTAGGGAGTTTACTCTTGTGATAGGTGCTGTCCACTACTTTGTTTCACTCTCATGCACAAGTAAAGGTGAAATATCTGACGTGATAAGCTTACATCTGGAAATTTTAAAAATTAGGAATTCAGACTCAACCTTGAATGAGAGAGCAACTTTAATTTTAAAAATGAGTAGTTCAAATCCAATCTTGAATTGGAAAGATGGAATGATGCAAAAGCCTATAGGCGTCATGTGACTCGTATAAAGGTGTTGAATAGTAAATATAACAGAAAATGGAGTTATGTACTTATTATATTTCATATAGAAATATGCACGTGTTTGCATTAATTGACAACTTGTTCACTATTATTTCTTATACATTGCTTGCGTATTTCATTGAGCTTTAGCTCATTAGCAGTGTTTGTAATGCAGGTATGGGGAATGAGTTAGTGGGATAATAGTCAGGACAATTGACTACTGTTTTTAATACATACACTTTTTAGGTGTATAAAAGGATCTGAATAGGAGCTATACAGACTTTTGGGTATGTAAGTAAATTTTAATACAACAACAACAACATCAAGCTTTTATCCCACTACGTGGGGTCGGCTACCTGAATCCTTTTTCTCCATTGTGTCATATTAAATGTCAAATTCTCATTTAAATCTAATAAAGAAAGGTCATTTCTAATTTTTTCTAGCCAAGTCTTTTTAGGTCTGCCTCTACCTTTCTTAACACAAGTCAAATCTAATACCTCTACTCTCCTAACCGGGTCATTGGAAGGCCACCATTTAATGTGACCAAACCATCTAAGGTGACTCTCTCTAATCTTATCTTCTACTGGAGCTACTCCAACCTTTTCACGTATATGCTCATTTCGTATCCTATCTCTAAGGGTAAAGCCACTCATCCACCTGAGTGTCCTCATCTTTGTCACACTTAGCTTAGTATTATGCTTCTCTTTTAGTGGTCAACATTCAGCACCATAAAGCATTGCAAGCCTCACTACCATCTTCTAGAATTTTCCCTTAAATTTGAGGGTACTTTTCTATCACACAACAAGCCCGATGCATTCCTCCACTTCAACCATCCAACTTGAATTCTGCTGATAATATTCCCATCTATTTCACCATCACTCTGAACAATAGATCCAAGATATATAAAACGTGTACTCTTATTAATGACTTGATCGCCCAAAGTCACAATCCCCTCACTATGTGTATTACTACTAAAAATACACTCCATATATTCTGTTTTAGATCTACTCAAGCGAAAACCATTAAATTTTAATAATTTTAGTAAAACTCTGTATTTAATTTAAGATGTATAGTATTACATATGCTTCATGTTATGAGTTATAAAACTTGATATGTTATGATATGTTAAGATATTTTGAATAGACTATTTCTTATTCCGTGATTCTGATAGAAGTATTTCAGAATATGTGTTAGTAAGGAGTTTTGTTCAGATTCTTCTGCTCTGTTACACGCTAGATTGACTATAAAGGTTAAATTGGGCTGTGACATCCTATACCTCTGCTTTTTTGAGGTGCTTGAAATTTTTTCTAGGGCGAATTCCAATGCTCTTGTCGTTTAACGCTTCCCTCTGAAAAGACACCGTCTGGGTCCTCGATGCCAGGATCATGGAGGTATTTCTGTAAGTGCCACATGGTGTTGCTTATGCTAGCCTTTTTCCTCTGATGTTTCTCTTCCACCCTTTGTGCTAGTTACACGTCTCCCTCAACCCCCTTGGCCTCAACACCCTGAGTTATGCAATTATGTCTTATTGCAGACCCTTCATGAAATTCCCCTACAATCCTTCCTTATTAATTCCCCTTAGCCTACCCGATAGCAGCTCAAATTTTTTCAGGTACTCCATGACTGTCCTGTCCTGGGTCAAGACATAAAATTGCTAGTGGAGGTATTCTTCTCGGATGGCTCGGAAACGTTCCAACAATCCCTCTTTAAATTCTCCCATGAATGGGGTGAGTACCTCGCCCCTCCCTCCACTAAAACTAAGCTATGACTTTTCCCTTCAAACATAGCCCTGCCGCTATGAGCTTTTCCCCATTCGTAGCCAATTGATAGCAAAGTAACGCTCCACCCGATACACCCATCCTTGAGCATATTCGCCTTAAAAAATCAGCATTTAAATGTTCTTTCCACGTTGTTCAATCAATAGGTGCAGTAAATTGATACACCTAATAAACAAAAACAACAAACGAGCGATGGAAAAATTGCAGAAAAACTAATAATAATGGCTGATTGTGGATCATAACTTCAATTTGAAAATAAGATACAAGTGATCTACAATTTGAGAGATAAATGAATTCTCCCAAACAATCTAGATGCCGCTAAGAAGCTCTGAAAGAAAAGGCTACAGCAAAATGAAATCAAAATATGCATAAAACAAAGTAAACTCTAAACTTAGCCTTAAATAAGCTTCTCCTACTTTCCTCTTAAATCAGGCCTCATTCCTAATTTATTTCCCCCTCCAATTTGAATTTCAATTAGGAAATCCTTCATAATTAATCCCTTCCTAAATCAGTCCCACTTTCCTAATATATTTCCCTCTCAAATTTGAATTTCATTTTGAAATATATCCTAATTAATCCATTCTTCAATTCCTCCTCTCATAATGAATTAATGTTTTACTAAGTCCCCAAGGGTTGCCGATGTATCATAAACTGAAATTTATTTTGGGAACTTATTCCTCCCCCTACCTGAAGAGTTAATGTCAGTTGGCTTGATTGTTTTACCTAATAATATTTTTCTTTCCAAGATGTGAGGAATTCTTATAATTCTCCTTTTGATGGTTTCTGTTCATTAAAAAGTGCTTGCTATATATTTTATTAATGAGTAGGGTGAAATATTTAGTCTTTCCCTTTTTTAGCTTTCTTAATCCTTCTTATCTGTTGCTTTCAGAATTTGTTTTTTCTGTAACTTCTTTGGGTCTTTTTAGTTTGCATCATGCTTTAGGTGGTTCGTTTGATTTATACTCTCAGAACATCCATTTATCGATGATTCTAGGATACTTTAGCATAGAATTATCATATCAATTTTGAGTCATGCAAATTACTATTGCGGTATCATGGTATTGTGCTCTTATGTGTGATAGGAATTGGTGAGAATTGGTTGACTATTTAATTTCAACTTTTGTGTAGTGTTTACAGTCCTAGAGAGGTTCTAATAATAGGGTACATATAAAAGTCATAGAATAATAATTATAAAATATTTATAATATTCTACAGACCATGAATATGAGTAGGTGTAGGATTCCATGAATTAAATAAGGTAACAACATAGAAGGTAGAAAGATGGAAGCAGTCTTGGTGAGTCCGGGACTCAACTGATGAAATTTATAGAGTTTAAATTCTTCTATTTGTTTGATTCTTATAAGATCTCTAAATTTCTTCATATTTTCTTCTTTCAATCCATTATATAGCGTTGCTTGTGTCTGACCTTGTAATATGTTTATACTTCATTCAATCGTACTAACATAATAATAGATTATGCTTGGCTAGATAATGGATTCTACAGGGATCTGTTAGCATTCTGTTCCAACCTTTTAATTTAGAAATTCTCTACATCTTAATTATACTTTATTATTATTTTGTTTATATTGTTAATTGAGCTTGAACATCAATTCCTGTTTAATGCTGTTAAATATTTGATTTCGAGGTTATCCAATCCCCCTTAAGCAGCTTGAAGCCATGCAATTTGATCTTAAATCGATCCAAGACTTGTAATTGGCAGCCTTGATGTAATACACACACGGCTGATAGCCTATTGACTATTCATATATAGCTAATTTTGTCCGAGAATGTCACGTTGCTCCAATTTTGTTTCCCAACTATATAAAATCTATTCAAAATGGTCCCTTTGGGATTAAATTGATATCAATTTTGTATAGTCGAGATACTGAATTGAGAACATATATACGTACTTGCATATATATAAACAACAACAACAACAACAACATCAAGCCTTTATCCCACTACGTGGGGTCGGCAAAACGAGAAGAACAAATAAAGCTCAAATATACATATACATACGTATATATGGATCTGATCCTCAGATAGCTTGATTTGATCCAAACTCTGGTCCTGGATCTGATGTTGAGATTGCTTGATTTGGTTCAAACTTGGGTCCATGTCAAGACTGATTCATTGACTTTGATCCAATGTTGATCTGATCCATACTGATCAATTCTCTGGTGATTTCGATATTTGAACCAAACTCACAGCCCTTTATGTGATTGATTGAAATGGTTATAAACTGTTTTGCTTCAGGAAATGTTTTCTCCTGTGTCTGTTGATAGAGTTGGGAAAGGCTATGAAGCGGTTCATCCTGAAGTTATCATTGCCAATGGTGATAACTCTAAGCTGCTGTCTCTCTCGCCTGGAAAGTTACAGAATGATTTGAACGGGCAAGGTTGCCGTGTTAACAAAGAGTCATTTAGATGTACAACAAGTGAAGGCAAAAGCCATCCTGATTCAAACCTCCACTCCATTTCAAGTGTTCTATCAATATCAGATGATGTCAAACAAAAGTTGGATTCTGTCAGTATAGCACATACTCCTAAGAATGCGACTAAATTATTCCATACTTCTGCTCTCCAAGAAATTACGCCATCTTCACACGGCTGGGAGCAGCAGCACTTTCTTAGTCAAACTGTTCCACCTTCAAGTAAATTTTTGGCTATGCCAGCTAGAGAAAAACTTGCTTTTCGTATGCAGACCCCTGTTAATGCTGTTAAGGCATTCCAGTTTTCTTCATTCAAAGGGTCTACATCCTCTTTCAAGGTCGGACAGCTGCAGACACTAAATTTTTCTCCTCTTTCCCAAAGTGAATTGATGCATGATGCTGCTAGGCAGCAATCTGATTATCTGAGATGGGAACTCATGGGACGTGGAGAAAGTATTTCTGCAAGTAAGAATCATATAACTACGTCAAATGTTAAATCAAGAATGCAGTCTGATTATGGCCCAGCACCATCATGTAATGATCTTTTTGTCACTGCTTTTCAGAGTACTCCGAATGATATTTGTGATGATCATAACATGAAACTTGCAGGTGTCTCTGATGTGAATCTGGGTACTACCAAAGTAAATGCTGCTGAACAGATGGAAGGTATGAACATCGTCAGGGATGTTAATTGTCCGGGGAATATTAGTTGTTTGACAAAACCTGAAGAAAATTCTGCCCTGGAAAGTATGAGCATCACTATGGAGACCCCTGATAATGCTGTTAAAACATGCCCGTTTTCTACATTGAAAAGTTCTATATCCTCTTACCAGGACAAACAAAGGAAGCTACAATATCGTTCTGTAATGTCCCAAGGTGAATCACTGCATAGTCCTGCTAGAGAGCTATCTGCTTCTCTGAAAATGGAACTCAAAGTGCACGATGAAAGAATTTCCGCCATCAAGACTAGTATAACTAGATCGGGATTTAAATCAAAAGTGCAAACTGATTGTGAAGCTGCACCATTAATAAAGGATCTTTTTATTACTAATCTTCAGTGTTATCTGAATGAAATTGATCCTTACAAGAAACATGTGGGAGCCTCTGATGTGAATGGTGATCCTAACGGCCTAACTGCTGTTGAACAGATGGAAGGGTTGGACATTGTTAAGGATCTGAATAATTCTAGCAGTTGTTTGACAGGACTAAATAAAAATGTAGCTTTTATGGAAACTGTTGAAAGAGATCAATCAGAAAAATGCATAGAATTTTTCTGTGATAGTTCTCTTAAGCTGCCCTATACCCTTGGTCAATCTCCTTCTTCAATAGACCAAATTGAAGCTGATCTGAAAGAATCAAATAAGGACATATCAAGAAAGTATGCATTACCAAATAAAGAAAAAGCAACTATATCTTTGAAGGGTCACTTCACTTCAGGAGTTGATGAAACTAGTTCAAGTGACTTGCTTGAACGCAAGAGCTTGCAGCCTGCTGCTTGTCTTGTAAGTCCTTCTGTAGAAAAGTTGAGTAATGGCAAAATACTGAACTTACCTGTGAGTAGCGGTACCTCGGTGCATTATGGAAAAACTGGCATAGATTCAAGAAGTTTCCATGTTGGAGGCTTGTACTATAACAAAAACTTAAATGAAAATTCAGCAAACAGACCAAACAAAGTCATTGAAAGACCGATGAGTGATCCTTCTAAAGCACCTGGAGTGGTTCTGGAGGCCAATACAACCTTAAACAAATCATTAGAGGTTATTGAAATTTTTATTTAATCAATTATGTTTCTCCTGTTTGTGCTTTCTTTGTCATGAATTTATTTGTTATTGGGCATTTGTAATTTCTCACACTTTAGTGGGCATTCTTATTACTTAGTTTAAGCTTGCAAAACTTGTTCTAATATGCAGTCTATAGCTGGTAAGATTGTTCTATCTCCTAACAATCATTCTTTTAATAAAACGGATCTGGTCTCTGCAAAGAAATCTTAAGCTGTCTTATCCTGTTTTCATGGCTCGAGACATCAGGATACAGAGTTTCAACAGGGGACAAATTGTCGCTGTGATATTGCAGTCGTTGGAGAAATAGGAAATAAACAAACATGTCACACAGAGAATGCTGGTTACAGTGAAAGTTACAGAATGCAGAACAGTCCAGTTAATGTGCCTAATGTCGTAGGTGATTCTTTGATTCTTTTAGCAGATCATATGCATCACGACGAAGCATTGGATATTGCAGGCAAGGCAACATTGAAGTGCTGGACTGATGTATGGATGCATGTTTTATATCTTTTTTGCTTAATCAGGTTTCCGTATGAATGGTGACTTGTTGCTATCGTAACTTCTTGAGGTTATTTTAATGCGTTTAGTTTGACTTGGCTGTAATCTTGTCTTGCAGGTATTCTCCAAATTATCTGATTCAACCAACCACCTGCTGCCACAGTCAATATCTGAACTAAATTTACAGAAGGTTCAACTTTTTTGCATTTGTACGCATTGGTCATTTATGACTTCTAAAGTTTTTGTGGGAGATGTACTTTAATGAAATTATATCATCCTTAAGAGGTCTTTACGTGCATATCTTGACACGTATGACAAAAAAATCTGGGAATACATTTGTTAGAATAATCTGCATGAGATAGCTACATTTTTCAACACTTTTATTTCTGGCAAGAAATATCAACAACAGCAACAACAACAACATCAAGCCTTTATCCCACTACGTGGGTTCGGCTACATGAATCCTTTTTCTCCATTGTGTCCTATTAAAAGTCTAATTCTCATTTAAATCTAATAAAAAAAGGTCATTCCTAATATTTTCTAACCAAATCTTGTTAGGTCTACCCCTACCTTTCTTAACAAAAGTCAAATCTAATACCTCTACTCTCCTAACCGTGAATTCTGCTGATAATATCCCCATCTATTTCCCCATCTAATTATGCTGGCAAGAAATATCATGAATGACTTTTTTTGTTTAACGTCATATTATTTGCCTTAGTCCAACTATTCTGGTTTGACTGGTTAACACACTTCCATTCATTCTTATTAAGTGCTAAATTTGGTTGCGGTCTAATTTGTGAAGTATTTTGGCCATATTATGTTTAATTTGTCTCATTTTCTTTTTAATCCTTTCACATTAGTTCTCTCAAGCAGTTTTAATGGTTTTTTTCTCTCTCTGTGTTTTACATGTCTGAGCCACCGATGTCTACTTCCTAACATCATATCTTCAATAGGAAATACTCTTATAGTTCCTCTGATATAAATCTATTCATACTCTATACTTTTTAATCTTTACCTATTTCTATTTTAATATTGTCATTTCTGCTACCCTTTGTTTAATAGTGATTTGATTTGTTGCTTAAGAATCTGATCACTGCCTCACATAACTAGGCCAATTAAAGTTTTACACAAATAATTGCCTTCCTAATTTTCTTATGGCGTAATACTCTTTTGAGGTGCTTTATAGTACAGAAATTAAAGTTATTATTGAGAAATTAATTGATATTCTAAAAATATTGCTTGGTAACAAGTTAACATGCAAGAATTTGTACACAACATGTTGACTTCCTAAATCATCAGCTAAATACAAAAACAAATTTACGTGCGCAAAGTTCTGAAGAGTTTTAGATTGTACAGCTGTGGACTTACTTTTTGGTTAATGAAGAACTCTTTAGGCTAGTACAGTTCAACTGAATCATCTGATTAGGATGCCACGTATTAAATACATTAAATAATACTCCTAAAACTTGATTAAGGCTCAAGAAAAGCTTTTCTTTTTGATAAAACTAAATTTCATAAGGCTGCTTTTAACTTCTGCACGAAATCTCAACACCTTGCAAGAACGTATTTACTTTTAAGATATTTGACAAAAATTAAATGTCACGAAAAATAAAATGCATGAAAGGACTCAGTTAGATTGTTTCATCTTGCATGATAACTGAGGTCAAATAAACGAGGAACCTCTTTTTGCTTTCTTTTGTTGCTGTCTTCCATTTTCTTAGTTCATTCATATACCTTTGTGTGCATTGTTCTCCAATGTCCATTCATTTTCTTTTTTATCATTTACACTGTTTTGAATAATTTTGTTGCGTTGTTTATAATTTTTCCTTCTCTGAATGAAGCTTGATGATATGGAAAATTTTCTGGATGAGCTACAGACTGCCAGGAACTATGAGGGGCTTTGTATTACCTTGGTACAAACTGAGATTATTCAAATTTTTAGTAACATGATAGCAATTTTTCAATAGTGTACGTCATGAGATTATTAGTGTGATGTCGTGTATTGTGATTAGCTACCCATTTGTTTTGCAGAGAAATAAAGAGTGCTATGGTCATCCGCACCAGAAGAGGTGATATTTTATTATTTTTAACGTTTTGTTTTGCATTGCTCTTGTTTCAACAGATTGAAGTCCAAGGACTGTTTTACTATGGAAGGATTCTTATTTATGGCATGACTGTTCCCAGGGTCATTGATGCAAGATTCTTGCTCGAAAAGCTTGGAATTGCTAAAGCAAGAAAACAGTTGAAGTGCATGAAGTTAAAAAAAATACGTGTAGGCCATTAAACGTTTGTTTTACCGATTCATGCTTTTAAAAACTTACTATCTTCGTAACTTGCTTATGCTTTTCTAATATAGGATAAAGCACAAATTTTACAATCCCAAGTTGAGGAATTTGACAAACTGAAGTCAAATTACGCTCAAACGCGTGACCTTTGCACAAGAGTTGTTGAATCGGATGAGTCGTCTTACTACAAAAATAAGATGCATGAGATGAAACCGGTGAAGCTCCTTTTTTTTTTAATTTAATTTTTCACTTCTTTCATTACTACTAATAAAATTAATAGCTTTCTTTTGCTGCATTTTGGTCATTTTATTTCTTCTTTGTACTTTTGAAGCTCTTTTGTTATTATATTTTGTATTTCTACAAAATCATGTGGGTATATATCTGATAGACAGGCCAAATTTGATTGGGAGGGAATTAGAAAATCTCGTAATCAAGAGGGAGTTGTTTAGGAAGATTCTTAATCAAAAGTAAATTAATTAAGAGATGTTTCCTAATTGAAGATAGAATATATGGAAAATTATTTGGCCAACGTCGTGCGTTAGTTTTAGGTGCTGGTCGCCGATTTTGACCGTTTTCATCCGATTTGATTGTGAGGTGGCCCCCCTTAGTTAAATTCGATGCTTCGATCGCAACGGTATAGTTCGTTCGGTGATTGGAGGTTGTTTGACCATTAAGGGATGTGTCGCGGCCGCCGACCGTCACTTGAGTTGCTAATTTCACTTTGTTTTCATGTTTTTAGTGCATGGGTCAACATTTCAGTATTGGTTAGAGTCGAATTCCACACTAAAAAAACTTCAACTCAAATTTGGGGATGTTCTAGTGATGTGTATGTGTCCATAACTCTTCGACATAGACAAGGATGCATTTGGAAGTGTATGTGCTTCCTAGCCTGGTGGCTGAGATCATTGTGGCAGAGCTTGTGGGTCTCCATTATCTTCATGTGCATCGTTGATAAGATTCTCATTTTTTCTTTGATTGTGGACTGATTTGCAACTTCTGAAGAACTCTTTTTAAATTATTTTAGATTAATAATTCATTGGGCACATATCTAGCTTTTTTATAATACTTGGATAAATAATTCTGTTCTTAGTGCTGCTAAAGATTTTTAGCTATGATACACTGACACTTCTCCTCAAAGAGGCGTGCAGTATCCGACACTCATTTGACACGATGAAAACGTGTCTGATTATAAAAATATTAAATACAAATTGAACACTCGTGTTCGACACATGTGTCTTAAATATTTTATGAATTTTTTAAATATGATTTCTTATATTTAAATTTTTTATTTAAAATAGAAAAACTAAATTTCTTATATGCTATCCACACTCAATACCCCATTCATTGAGTATTCTCATTTTCATTTCTCTTTGGTGGGTCGTGACTTTGGTTTCACACAATGCCCGATGTCATCTCAACTTCGACGTGTGATGTCGTTATAATTTCGACATTTCAAAACCATCTCAACATAATAGTCGAACACTATCTTGACATTGATGCACAACGTTAGCAATTTGTCACTTACAAATTGACATCTCATTTTTTTTCCAACGTCTTCTTAACATTGACATCTCATTTTTGTCCAATGTCTTCTTAACATTGACGACCAACATCCTCTCAACATCGACGACATACACCCTCTTGAAATTGACACTCGATATTTTCTGCATAGCATCGATGTTTGACTCTTGACAATATTGTGTCTCCTCTCTCAATGCCTGAAACACGGCAATGACATCCAACTCTCGACATCCTAATATTAATCATTTTAAACACAAACTCTAGTTAAATTACTTATTATTTCTAAATTATTTTTAATATTATACTTATTTCATTTCTATACACTATTTTTAAATATTAAAATTATAAAATTGTGTCCAACCCGTGTCCGTATCCTAGATTTTCAATAAATTACGTGTCCTGTGTCTGTGTCGTATCCGTGTCGCCGTGTCCGTGTCTGTGAATCATAGATTTTTAGGATAGATTTTTCTTTTTTGCTATCTGAAATATTTTAATTGAAAGGAACAACTATACTTTTCATCATGAAGGGATGGTTACAAGGCTATTTGGTATTAACATCATTTGTTTGGCAGATTTCTGGTTTCACTCTACTAAATGAAGGAAAACTCTCATAATTACTAACAACGGGGAAGTTTTTTGTCTTCAGATACTGCTAGTCATTCTTTTTGTTTAATTATTTGATTCTCTACTTTGTATGTATTCCGATTTTGTTGTGCTCGAGTTGTTTCCTTGTAATTTGAAGCTATTCTCCCAAACTATTATTTTTAGTGAGAAGGGTTTCTAACCATCTTTTCATTAGAAAAATAAAAGAATCTTCTTCGCCATTAATTCCTATTAAGGGCTGCATCCACTGTTAACTCCAGCTTGTGCAAAATCTTTTGCTCTTTGTTGTGACTGAAATAATTCTAGCTTTTGAAAGAATCAAATGCAATACATGAGAACTGGGAGATGGGAAAAAAATATGAAATTGATTAATAAGTAGAGAAGAAGATAATGAATTGAATCATTTGGGCATGATTTTACCCGTTCTGTCAAGCTACACTTTTGCCCAACAAATAATGAATTTTTATATTATTTTTCCAAATGGCAAAGAATAAACAAAGCAATATTACTTACAAGTGAACTGATATGTGTTATTCATATGACATGGATCTCTTGATTGCTGTACATTAATTGTTAATGTAAGAAAATTTTGAATCTTCTAATGTCTCCCTCACCTAATATTCTTGGTTCACGTTCCAGCAGAAGTTAGTTTGGTTGGTAGCATTCAGCATCCATCATCGTACATATAGTTGTAGTATTCTTTTTGAAGATATGAATTCTCTCTCTCCATGTCATGATGTTTCGTTCATTCCAACTGTTTTCCCTATTAATATGCATTGTTATTTCTTGCACATCATGTTTTTTAATTTATAAAGAGACAGTTTTACTATTTGTTTTTGTTTTTTTACTAGCTTTTGACATTCCTAGTTGAGTTGTGTTTATATTGCTTGAACCCTTTGAGTTCTAAGTGAAGATCTAAGATTAATTAAATCTGTACGGAATCATGATTTTGGCAGGAAGAACAGAACAGACTGATGGCAATGAAACAAGAGCTTGGAATTCTTGAACAAAATATCAAGCTTTTATTGAAATCATTTGAAGCTTCTTGTAAGCTAACATGGAAAATGAGCTGCAATGACATCATTAAAGCAGTTGATGAGCAAGTAATGAGAAGACAGTTTTGCAAGGAGATTCAAAGACATTGTCGGGTAAATTTCTATCTTTAATCTCTATATTTTAACCTTTAAACCTTATTTTTTTAAAATTATGTTCAATTGGTGCCAGCTATGGAGTTTGCACGATGTAGTTATGGTGAACGGCCATTATGAGATCACGCTTGGTTATTGTAATCTACTCTTTCAAAGGTGGCAAGACAGTCTTCAAATTTTAGATATTTTGTTTGGTTTTTTATTTTAATAATATATCTCCATTGATTCTGAACTTTTATTCAACAGGTTCACATTAAACAATAGTAGGTTTTCAAGCATAGTTGCTAATATCTTTTCCGATGCTGCAAATATTATAAAGGTTAAGCTCTTTCATGTTGTAACATTGTGTAGAAAATTGTATAAGTTTCTCTTATTATTGTTTTATATATAAAACTCCATGAAGTATCTTTTTCTGTCTTGTACTTGTTCAGAAATACCCAAACATGAATGCATGCATAGCCTTTGAGTTCGTCTTTAAACTCAATGTTGATCAGAAGTTTGCCGGTTCAAATTGTATTTACGAGAGGATAGTGGTAAGTGTGCAATTGCATGATTAACATTATGTGCTTGCTTTCTATTTCGTGGCAAATGTCGAGTGATTATCAACTTCCATTCTAGATAGTGGAACAATTTTCTTTTACTACTATGCATACTCAATTTTTATGCTTTAGATATATCATTCATTTGTTCTTGTTCTATATCTCTTTTAACTTTCTTTTGTTGCCTATATTTTACCATTTTAATGGGAAAATATTGTTTGTGAGATTCCTTCGCCCACTCATGATAAATTCATGTGCTTATACAAATATTACTTGAATGCTTTGATTATGGTATTCTGATTTAGACTTATGTTTGACATCAACAACATGATTGATTAGATATATTTTTGCTTTATTTAGTGATTTATATTTAAAAAAATAGATGGGGTTTTATTTTTCAAATTTATATTATGATTTTAATTTTATATTTTAGTTTTTTCTCTTCGACCCGAAGAATCCTTTTTAACAATAAAGAGAATATCTGGGAATAGGATGAGGTTACGACAACGACAATAACAACAACAAGCTTTTAGCCCATTATGTGGGGTCAACACATGAATCTTTTTTCTTTATTGTATCCTATTAGGAGTCAAATACTCATTTAAATATGATAAAAATGTTATTTTTAATATTTCATAACAAAAGCTTTTTAGGTTCACCTCTACCTTTCTTAATATATGCTAATGTTTTTGTCAAATTTTTGATAATAAAACTAATGTTTAGTTTATAAAATGTCTTGAGATATGCAACAAAGAAATTTTTGTTAATTATTGTTTGAAAAATTAGAACTTCTTGAATTTTCCCACTATAATAAGATTCCTATTCTAGGCAAATACAATCAATAAGATAAAAGGAAATCATTAAAAAAAAATGATCTGAATGTCTTTAATTATGAGGATGTATTCCCATGTAAAGACAAAATATTGAATTATTAAGAACTTCCAATTTAGTAAAATTTCTATTATGGAACCCACTTAGGCTGTAGCATATATGCTAAATAGATTTAACTTGCAGTAATGATTGGAAAAATAAATTAGTCTTAAACCTTTGTAAACTTATCTGCTAATTGTTTTTTGTTGTAGACATAGTGATGGCCTTATTTGATAGAACACATTTTCGATGAAGTAGCAATATGCTTAAATATATTTTATTCTTTCGTGAAAAATATATTTACAAGTAATATATTTTAGTTATTGATCATTATAGTTTAAGAACTTTGGGTTGGGGTTTGAAATCCATTGGCATGAAATTAGCTTTACAGTAAGGGGTGATTAGTCCCCATATGTGATGATTTAGAAGAATTCCATTTCAATATCTATTGCATGCTTGAAGTTTGGATGAAGCCACACTTCTTGATAAGTACTGGGAATAAAGATAGCAGATATAGACGAGGCAAGCATATGAAGGCAAGAGGATGTACGATCAAATCTTGTAAATGATTGTATTGGATGACTAGACAATGTTGTGTACCTTTCCGGAAAGAAATTTGGAGATAAAGTTATATGATTTTAGGTGTTGGTAGATGCCCTATTATAGTAAATATGATGACAAGTACTAGGAATAAAGAATAGATTGTGGGCTCCGAAAATTCGGCCCCGGCCTCCACTCGCTTTTCTTATTCGGCGATGGAGTTTTAACGAACTAAGTTCCGAGGTAAATTTTGGAAGGCAGATGGGTTTGTAGATAAGACACTACCCAGAGATTTCGCCCGCTTTTCTTATGCACGTGCGGGGGTATTCTTGGAATAGACGCCTTTTGTCTGCTTATACGAATGTTGCGGATCCGGTGGCGTGGCGTTGTAGTTGTGGACGCCTTCTGTCTGCTTGTATAAATGTTGCAGATCCGGTGGCGTGGTAGCAGCTTCTGAATAGAGTTGTTTACTACTTCGTACAGGTAGACTGTCGTGCACTACTTATTGATTTTTGTAGGCGGATCATAGTGCACTAACTAATCTCATGCCTTATACTTGTATATGCTTGCACTTGTTGTATTCTCCATGCATTTTGTTGATCTTTTAAGTACACCAGCAACTGCTACATGTATGTAGGTAGATGTCTTCATTTATAGGCTGAAATTGACTTCAGGATACTGCATTTACTGAAGTCCTTCTGCATCTACCCATAAGTGGCATATTATACATACATCCATATTTATAAAGAGAATGTATGTATTGCAGATCTTTATCTTTACCTACAGTGAATCAATATATTTCATAACCATTGATTGTTTATTGACTGCAAGTGTGTTGTAGCATTTGTTATTCGTTATTGATTGACATCGTTGCATACGTGTATGTTTGTTGTAATTGGTGTATTTGCTTGAACATCTTTCAATCCTTCTAGCAATTGTTGCTTGTATCCTCAAGACACTACAAGTTTCTGTCAAGTTCATTATTGTTGATAGAAGATTTACACTTTTGTTGGAGTAGCTTTCATGGGTCAACTACAATATCCATTGAAGTTTTTTATACAATAATCATCCAATTGAGATGATCGCGTTCACTGGGATTCAATTCCATTAACATCATTCAACTCCTCTTTGCAAATTCGTGGACCCACCAATGTGGATGATATGGATATCACTTTATTTATATGTATACTGAAGGTTTTCCATTGTCTTTGATGGTTGATTGTATCTTGAGTGCTGCTTTTTTTTCATCGATGCTTGTATAATGACCCTTTATGAATACCTCATTGGCTCATGAGAAATTCATGTTCAATGAGATTTAAATGTAAATCTTTTATTGCTTCGTTGTTCCCTGTTCTTTGCATGATCAAAATATTTAATTGCTATAGAGATTAATTCTCTTATGATTATGAGCTTTGACTTTTAACGAATTCTTTCATTCTAACCCAACCTCACAAACTCCTTCAGGTTGGATCAGAGTTCTTCACATTCATATTAACTATTTAAGTCCACTTGGCCTTGTTCAAATTCTTTAGAGCTCATGCTCATTCAAGTTTGAGCTTAATGCTTGCAGATTCAATGTCATATGAGTCCAAGATCAGACTCAAATCCGATATAGGTTCAAGCTCATGTAATGTTCAAATCAAGTTTGAGTGATCAACTAGCAAGCTTAAGTCCTTGCTCAAATTATTCAAATAAAATCCTTTGTAGTATTTTGAGTTCAAAACATGTTCGAGAGTAGTCCTTGTTGTCTTGTAGAGTCCAAGTCTTAATTCAACGAATAAGCTCAAGTCCCATATCCATGAGTTTGAGTTCATGTTGTTTAGTCATTTGAGTTCAAGATTGTGTTCAAAATACAATTTCAAGCTCACAAGTTCAAGTCTTGTTCAATTTTGATTGAATTTCAGTTGAAGTTCAATTCTTTTATGGTTCATTTAAGGTTTGAGTTCAATTAAGTAGATTTGGTTCGACCAAGTTCAAGTCCGGATCTTTGTTCAAAATAGCTCTTGCATGTCCTTTCAGTTCAATCAAGTCCAAGTCCAAGCTCCTTTCTTTGTTCAAGTCCTTGGATTTTCAATCCAAATTTCGGCAGCCTCCCGGCGTCTCCCCCGTTAAGGGGAAAAAAAC